TTCCTGCCATGCTCTGCGGCATATTCCTTCCACCAGTCGTCCCAAAAAAGGTCCAGGCCGCGTAGGAAATCGACCGGTCTGACCTCGATGGGCCTAGCGTTCACGCGGTTCCGTTCAGACTCCTCGGCGGCCACCAGGTGGTCGATGTCGATGCGTTTCAATGCGGGTCTTTTGGGGGGGGTCCACATGAGGTAAGAGGTTGGGCACTTCCTCGGCCCCGCGCGTTGTGGGGGGCGTCCGTATTGGTCTGGGGCGATCAGGCCAAGGGCACCTCCGTTCTTGCTGAACGAGACAGGTTTCGTAGCGGAGGCACGATTGGGTACGAGCTCGCTGGATAGCGAGGGCTCGTCGGGCATTGGCGGAGCTGAGTGTTGTTTGGTGGTTGGGGAGCGGACACCCACCTGGTCTACCCCCGCTCCCCAACCTCCAAGCCACACTCGGCTGATGGGGATACGCGAGGAGTTAAGAAGTGCAAGGGAATCCCATCTCCAGCGAGAGCGAGATTCCTGAACACCCCCGAATAATTCCCAACCAACGTGTGTTGTTGGGTCCTCGTTTTGAAGAGACGGTGCCCCGCGTCTCCTTCCTCCCGCTGCCCCCTCCCTCCTCCTCCTCCCCTTCCTCCTCCCTCCTCCCCCTCCCTTCTGGCACACCCCTCACACGCTTCGTGGCCCCATAGAGAGCTCCACCGAAGGCCCCAGTGGCTGCGCCCGCATGCGGTTCCACCCCCCATTCTGGCACACCCCTCACACGTTTCGTGGCCCCATAGGGAGCTCCACCGAAGGCCCCAGTGGCTGCGCCCGCATGCGGTTCCACCCCCCATTCTGGCACACCCCTCACACGTTTCGTGGCCCCATAGGGAGCTCCACCGAAGGCCCCAGTGGCTGCGCCCGCATGCGGTTCCACCCCCCATTCTGGCACACCCCTCACACGTTTCGTGGCCCCATAGGGAGCTCCACCGAAGGCCCCAGTGGCTGCGCCCGCATGCGGTTCCACCCCCCATTCTGGCACACCCCTCACACGTTTCGTGGCCCCATAGGGAGCTCCACCGAAGGCCCCAGTGGCTGCGCCCGCATGCGGTTCCACCCCCCATTCTGGCACACCCCTCACATGGCCCCGCTTTGCAGCGCCCGCATGCGGGCCCACAATTTCGTGGCCCCATAGGAGCTCCACCGAAGCCATGGCTGCGCCCGCATGCGTTCCACCCCCCATTCTAGCACACCCTCACACGTTTCGTGGCCCCATAGGGAGCTCCACGAAGGCCCCAGTGGCTGCGCCCGCATGCGGTTCCACCCACCATTCTGGCACACCCCTCACACGCTTCGTGGCCTCATCGGGAGCTCCACCGAAGGCCCCAGTGGCTGCGCCCGCATGCGGTTCCACCCCCCATTCTGGCATACCCCTCACACGTTTCGTGGCCCCATAGGGAGCTCCACCGAAGGCCCCAGTGGCTGCGCCCGCATGCGGTTCCACCCCCCATTATGGCACACCCCTCACACGTTTCGTGGCCCCATAAAGAGCTCCACCGAAGGCCCCAGTGGCTGCGCCCGCATGCGGTTCCACCCCCCATTCTGGCACACCCCTCACACGTTTCGTGGCCCCATAGGGAGCTCCACCGAAGGCCCCAGTGGCTGCGCCCGCATGCGCTTCCACCCCCCATTCTGGCACACCCCTCACACGTTTCGTGGCCCCATATGGAGCTCCACCGAAGGCCCCAGTGGCTGCGCCCGCATGCGGTTCCACCCCCAATTCTGGCACACCCCTCACACGTTTCGTGGCCCCATAGGGAGCTCCACCGAAGGCCCCAGTGGCTGCGCCCGCATGCGGTTCCACCCCCCATTCTGGCACACCCCATCACACGTTTCGTGGCGTCATAGGGAGCTCCACCGAAGGCCCCAGTGGCTGCGCCCGCATGCGGTTCCACCCCCCATTCTGGCACAATATAAATAGACACTCACCCCTCACACGTTTCGTGGCCCCATAGGGAGCTCCACCGAAGGCCCCAGTGGCTGCGCCCGCATGCTGTTCCACCCCCCATTCTGGCACACCCCTCACGCGCTTCGTGGCCCCATAGGGAGCTCCACCGAAGGCCCCAGTGGCTGCGCCCGCATGCGGTTCCACCCCCCATTCTGGCACACCCCATCACACGCTTCGTGGCCCCATAGGGAGCTCCACCGGAGGCCCCAGTGGCTGCGCCCGCATGCGTTTCCACCCCCCATTCTGGCACACCCCTCACACGTTTCGTGGCCCCATAGGGAGCTCCACCGAAGGCCCCAGTGGCTGCGCCCGCATGCGGTTCCACCCCCCATTCTGGCACACCCCTCACACGTTTCGTGGCCCCATAGGGAGCTCCACCGAACGCCCCAGTGGCTGCGCCCGCATGCGGTTTCAACCCCCAATTCTGGCACACCCCTCACACGTTTCGTGGCCCCATAGGGAGCTCCACCGAAGGCCCCAGTGGCTGCGCCCGCATGCGGTTCCACCCCCCATTCTGGCACACCCCCTCACACGTTTCGTGGCCCCATAGGGAGCTCCACCGAAGGCCCCAGTGGCTGCGCCCGCATGCGGTTCCACCCACCATTCTGGCACATTAAAAAGACAAACCCCCTCACACGCTTCGTGGCCCAATAGGGACTCCACCGAAGGTCCAGTGCTGCGCCCGCATAAGCGGTTCCACCCTCCATTCTGGCACACCCCTCACACGTTTGTGGCCCAGTAAAGAGCTCCACCGAAGGCCCCAATGGTTTCGCCCGCAATGCGGTTCCACCCTCATTCTGGGGCACAGAAAAATGACTAACAAATAATATATAGACCCCTCACACTTTTTCGTGCCCCAGAGGGAGCTCCACCGAAGGCCCCAGTGGCTGCGCCCGCAATGCGGTTCCACCCCCCATTCTGCACACCCCTCACTCGCTTCGTGGCCTAAAAGGGGGGGGAAAATCCCATAGGGAGCTCCACCGAAGGCCCCAGTGGCTGCGCCCGCATGCGGTTCCACCCCCCATTCTGGCACACCCCTCACACGTTTCGAGGCCCCATAGGGAGCTCCACCGAAGGCCCCAGTGGCTGCGCCCGCATGCGGTTCCACCCCCCCTTCTGGCACACCCCTCACCCGCTTCGTGGCCCCATAGGGAGCTCCACCGAAGGCCCCAGTGGCTGCGCCCGCATGCGGTTCCACCCCCCATTCTGGCACACCCCTCACACGTTTCGTGGCCCCATAGGGAGCTCCACCGAATGCCCCAGTGGCTGCGCCCGCATGCGGTTCCACCCCCATTCTGGCACACCCCTCACACGTTTCGTGGCCCCATGGGGAGCTCCACCGAAGGCACCAGTGGCTGCGCCCGCATGCGGTTCCACCCCCCGTGCTGGCACACCCCTCACACGTTTCGTGGCCCCATAGGGAGCTCCACCGAAGGCCCCAGTGCTGCCGCCCGCATGCGTCAGCCACACCCAATTCGGCACACCCCTCACACGCTTTCGTGGCCCCATAGGGAGCTCCACCGAAGGCCGCAGTGGCTGCGCCCGCATGCGGTTCCACCCCCCATTCTGGCACACCCATCACACGTTTCGTGGCCCCATAGGGAGCTCCACCGAACGCCCCAGTGGCTGCGCTCGCACGCGGTTCCACCCCCCCATTTCGGCACACCCCTCACACGTTTCGTGGCCCGGGGGCGCCACCGAAGAATAGATCCACAATTGCGGTATTCACAGCTACGTATGGTTGGGTCTTTCGTCAGGCTATTTTTTTAGCAGGGGTTGCTGTTGGGGCCAGACGGCCCACAACACAGTTTGAGCCTCAAAACTTTCCCTGACGAATTAACAGATGCGAGCGTCGGTGGGGGCACTTCGCTTGGACAAAAAAACAAAAACGCATCCGACAGTGGGGGCCACAACATCCTTTAGAAGCGAGGGTGGGAGGACGAAGAGGAGGACCGACGGGGAGAACCAGGAGGATCGACGAGGATCGAGAAACGTCGAAAATACCAGGGGGTCCAGCATCGATGAGAAAGAAGGAGGGCTGAGGGAAGAAGGGGGGAGGAGAATGAGGAGGAGAAAGAGGAGGGGGGCGAGGAGGAGGGGACGGAGGAAGGAAGAGGAGCATCAGGAAGGACAACGTAGACTCGCGACAATCCTGGCAGCAACGCCGATAGCAGTATCAGCAGCAGTCACAACAGTAGCAAAACTCTTGTCAAACGCAGGGACAGCAATGGCAGTACCAGCTGCTAACGTTCTGACAGCTGCGGCAGCGGCAGTGGTACTTGCAACGGTGGACGTAATAGCAGCAGCAGCAGCAGCAGCAGCAGCAGCAGCAGTCCGCAGCAGCGGTGGCGCAACAGAACTAGCGGCGGCGGCGGTTGACAGCCGCAGTCAGTGGCAGCGGCTTGAATCGGCCACGCGCAAGCGTGACTCCAGGCAAGAGAGACCCTTGGCGCGCGGACTTATACGGGGGCGCATCGTGGCCGAATCCAAGCACGCAAGCACCCTCTATCGCATCGCGCTCAGCGATCGGAAGGGGGCCGATGAGCCCGCACCATAGGTCACTCCAGCGAGGGGTCACTCTTGCGTGGCCGACGAGAAGAAACGGGTCTTGCGCACGATAACGTCGCGACCCACTGCGGAGGCTTACGCGGGCCGCCGGAGCGGCACGCTGCATGGGAGACGAGGGCGCTTGCGCATCGACCTTACGCGGGCAATTTGCGCTCCAACGTCGGCACAAACGACTCGGCTACGTTGCGTCACTCTCGCGTTTAGCCGATAGATTTTTTCTGGCGAACATCAACTATGCCCAGCTGATTAGTCAAACGCAGCAATGCCAACCCATGCCGCCAGAACGCGGCCTCCTGTAGTGAAACACGGGGTTGGTACATTTCTTATTGTTCACAATGCGAGAGTAAACACGTCGATAGAGACAGACGTTGCACGAGGTAGCGAAAGTGGCAGCGGAAGCGACGGCAGCACTGATCGCAACGGCCGCCAGGCGGCGGGAGGATGGCCGCGGGCGCCTCGCTGAGGAGGATGCGCACGTCCGGCGGCTGCCCGTCTCGGACGGGGGGGGAGTGGAAGGGGGCACGGGACAGTCCAGAAGCAGGTCTCCCCCTCTCCCGGCGGCGAGCGAAGGGGGGGGAACGGAGACGGAGCAGGCCCTTCTCAGAAGACAGCGGGGATTCTCAGAAGACCCCCAGCCTTCTGAGAAGTTGTCTGTGTCTTCGGGGAAGGCTTAGGATTGTGGATGCCACGAAAATGGACGACCTAACAGTCCGATCATCGAATTAGAAATGTGTATGAAATGTCGGTAAATGTCATGAAAATGTTTAAAACATGTTTTTATACGTTTAAAACAGTTCTAACATGTGTTCTAGACATCTGGGAATTATTTGGCAACATGCTTCCTCTTGATTGATCGTCCTCCACAAGCTTAGGAAACTGCTCAGAATGCCCGAGGCCTTCCAAAGCCTTCTGAGAAGGCCCCGCCCCCTCTTGCTTCCCCCCCGGGGGCTTGCCGCCGATCTCTCTCTGGACAAGCGCGCTCCACTACACTTAGGTCGAGCCTGTCCCCAACACAAGGGGATTTTGGACGAAAGCTAAAAAAGATTCAAAAGATACTCAGAAGATGCACAAAAATACTCAAAAAATGATCCCCTGGCTACTTTTCGACTGTTTTTCAATATTCCCTCTGTAGAGGGGAAGGCCCGACTTAACACTACTCGCAGAGTCACTGCAGCCGTAATCATGATCAGAAGAACCATCATGTGAGAAAACAGGGCCAACTTGCCGTAAATTTCTTCAAAACGAACCTGCATAAACTTCTTCTGATGACGCTGAAGGGGGCGAACGTGCTCAACAGACTGGGCAATGTTTCCTGCGAGTTGGTTAAGAAACGCTGGCCCGGCTTTTCGGGCGGTTTCTCGACCACGTGCTCGACTGTGCCCGCAAACGCTCTGCATTCGCCGCGGGGGGGGCTGCGATCCGTTACATCGAGGCGAGCGTGTGTCCTTCGGAGGCTTGCGAGTAGGCACTGTGCGAGCAGGGTGAGCACAGAGAGGAGGCGTAGGGCCCCGCCACCCCTTCTCCCATGCCTTCCTCTCTGCCGGTGCCGGCGCGGGTCTCGCCCCACGTGCACGGCCCGCAGCGGTCTGCCCGAGCCGCCCTCGCACGCAGGCCTGGGAACCGCTCGAGCACCAACTGCTGTGCGGGCAGTCCGGGCGGAGGTGCCGACAAGACTGCTCCCGAAGTGACTCCGCAAGTCCTGCGCAGCCTGTGGCGATGCCCGTCGCGAGCGAGGGCGGTGAGCGCGGCCC